AACAATGGTTGCAGGAACGGAGGTTGGCGGCCAGCGACGTCTCTAGCAAGAGAGTGGCACCCGTCGGAGCTGTATAACGCGTGATTTAAGGGAGTAGTCTGGCAAACCGGGCGGAGTCACAGATCGTCCCACGTAATGTGCGCAAAGGCTTACGCAACGGCTGAGTCCGCGACGGACGACGGAGCGGTCCGGCGGGCTACAGCCACGACCGAGCCGAGCCGTGCGCTGAGAGTTTGTCGACGCAGGCCACGACCGCTGGTGTCTGCCGCCGAAGTGCAGGTCATGGCGCGGCCGCCCTCCGACGCGCCGCCAGGCGTCAGCTAGCTAGAGAGATGGACATGTGATCGCGACTACTAGAGCGCCGCGTCCCACTGCTGTAGCACGGTATGCACATACTTTTTACTCCACGTCCCCGTACCCATAATCCGTTGGGTATGCGGCTAGTCGATAGTCCTGCATGTTGATAGATTTGCTGTACGTCGGTGTGCCTATTCACCGTGATTGGCACACGTTCCTTTTGCGAGTTCATGAAAATCACACAAGGAGCCGTCGACGCAACCGCACTTGAAATCTTTGATCGGCGTGCTCGCGTCACAGGCCGAGCACATCGACGCCGGCGACGACGACAAGCACCGCGCTCGCGCCGGCCAGCGCGAAGAGGATGTAGGCGGCAGTGATCGCGTCCTGGCCGAGCACGCGCTGCTGCGGCTTCTTGCGCTTGCCGCTCGTGTCGTTGATGATCACCGAGTCTTTGCCTGTCCCGAAGGACTCTCCGAAGGCAATGCGCCGCCAAAACTCGATCGTCGCCCACACAAAGGGGACGGAGCCAATGATGAACACGACCGTGTCCTCGGGCGTGATCCCTCGCGGCTCAAACGTCTGCAGCGCCGGATCGGTCTTGGCGTATGCCTCGACATACGCCGCACCTCGCAGCGTCGAATCGACGGCGGCCTCGGCGGCGCTCGCCATGGAACACATGAGAGCGGCGACGGCGGCAGCTGCAGGAGCGCGCTGGCACTGAGCAGCAGGCTTCCGCCGGTGAGCAGCATAGGTGAGCGCACACGCTGTCGTGCGACGCAGCTGCGGCTGCGGCGGGGCGGCTGCGCGACGACCTGGGTGGCCGGCTGGCGCGACAGCGCTGCTCGTGTGCGCAGTGCGTGACTGCGTGAGGCGCAGGCACTGCGCCCCCTGTGGCGACCTGACCAGCACGCTCCCTGCGCCGGCGAAGAGGAGTGCAACTAGTGTCTGCCCCAAGCAGCTGCCCGACATAGGATTCCTACTCGTGCAACGTGGACAGTTTATAAGAATTTGCAAACCCGGAGAATCGGCGAGGCACTGCGAAGGCTCTCTCCCCCCTCGCTTTTGCAAAATCCTGCAAAGGTGGGGACGTGTCTGTCCTCGACCCAGCCCTAGCTTGGGATGTCCGTTGTATTTATTTATTTATTTAGCACTGCGAAGGCTGCGAAGGGAGATAGAAAGAGGCAGACGACCAAGGGTTAGGGTGGGCGACGGCTAGCCCCACACTCTTCTCCTTAAAATCCCTGTGAAAAAAAATCCCTGTGTGGTGGCGGCGTGCCGTCCTCCCATCCCTCCCTTGCTTAGGTGTGTCTGTTTTCTTTCTTTGAAGAGGTAGGCGCCCGAGGATGGGCGACGGCTAGCACCACACCTCTTGCAGCTTTGTGGTGGCGGCTTGCCGTCCACCCTCGTTTCCTTCTTTCTTTCTTTCTTTCCTAGCTAGCGTGCGAAATCCCTTTGTGGTGTGTGTGGTGTCTTTTCCACGGTTCTTTGTGATGCCCAGTGTCGTGCGAGACAAACCGTGGTAAAATTCGTTGCGGTTCAAGCGCCGCTTTTTTCGTCGGTCGGCACACTTTTTTTTTTGTATCGCGCGCCTTGCGGGGGGGGCGCGGAAAAGAGGAACCTCTTAGCGCCATCGCCACGGTGCTGCATGCAGCGCCGGGCGACGACGGCTTACCGCCTCCCGGTCCCCCTCACACTCGATGGATAACTCTGGCCACACTCCACACGATATATATATATATGAAGATGCTCGCGCTCGCCTTCGCCGCTGCCAGCGCCTTCGCCCCGTCCTGCCAGGAGGCGGCAATTTCGGAGGGGAACTGCGCGAGCGGGCTTCGCATGCGCTGCCCGGCTGCGCTGCCTCCGGCCAAAGCGATCCCAGGCGTGCCGCTACTCGTGGAGGATCTCTCGGACAGAGTGCATGAGGGCGACGGGCTCCCCACCTACGCCGTAAGTGTGCTCTACCACGAGTGGCCGGGGCACGTGCGTTCGCCCATCAAGCAGTACGACCAGAGTGGCATGCTGTGCGTGAAGCGGGGCCAGATTCGGCTCGTGCTGCAAGGCGCAGCTGGCAAGTTAGCGAAAACTGGCGAGTGCCTCTTGCTGCCGCAGGAGCCTCTGAGCGTGGTCAGCTCAGACTCGCCCGCTCAGTTCTTCCTCTACACCGCCAGCCCGGGCTACCTGGAGGTGGACGGGAGAATCTGCGAGCCTTCGTCACAGTGGAGTCTCGGCATCGTCGGATGCCCCACATGCTCCGAAGTTCACGAGCAGCAATGCAAGACGTATGCAACGTGCGCAGGGCACTCGAACGCCACCGTTTCCCCTGATTCGTGTGAGTACGAGTGCGTAATCAACGGCGAGCCGGCGCCCACAGTGCAGTGGCTCGTGCCGACAACCGCCCGCTCGGACAATGCTGGCAAGGTCGTTGCAATGGAGCCCTCGTATCCTGTGCAGGGCGGTCACTCGGGGGACATGCTCGACTTCTACGCCGTCTTGGGATCCGGTCGCAATACCCTCCCGGGCGACAACCACCGCCTCTACGCGGAGAGGACGACCCGCATTCCTTTCACGCGCGCGCTCGTGCACACCCACGACTGGACGGGTGTTACTTGCGTGCAGCAGGGAGAGATGACGCTTCTGCTCGACATGGTGGAGCCGGTGACAGTGCGCGAGAGCGGATGCTACTGGATGCCTGCAGGACGCTATATGACGGGGATGAACACCGGGAACGTCACGGCACTAATGTGGGACATGTACGCTGTTCCTGCGGAGACTCAGGAGGCGCTACACCACGATCGATTTGCTACCTATCGATTCTCGCGCCGCTTCGAAGGATGCGGAAGAAGACGACATTTGCCGTGCGGAAGGCGGCGTGCTCGTCGACGGGGCGACCGTCCGCCCGCTCTCCCCCAAGGAGCGCTTCAACCAGAGCGCTTCGCTTGTGCGCCGCATCAAGGAGATTTGCGATCTCACCGCCGGCACGCTTGAGCCCTTACTGGCGCCATACCCCGCGTGCGAGTGCATCGGGCAATTCGACGAGACGGGAAGTGTGGAGTGGGCGCTCTGACAGACCACACAGGGGCCCCGACACATATCGACCCCGATGAGCGTGCCCGCCGACCCTCCGCGTGCGCGTCCCCACACTTTAAATAGAGGTAGGGGCGCGAGACCGAGGCGCCCACTGCCAAACACCTTCCTGCGCTGTGCACGCTCACGAACTGTCTGCTGCGTGTTACCGCAGCCGCGCGCAAGTGGAGAGAGAGATAGACGTGGAGGGGCGTTGCGCGCGCTGTGCGCCTCTGTGGCCTGTATAAGCTGCTGTATAAAGTGTATACAATGTGTGTCGTGCGCTGCTCGCGGCTCGCCCACGGGTGCTAACCTTATGTCGCTGTCGGCTTGTCACGTTGCACTTCGCCATTTGTTCTCTTGTGCGTGTTGTTGCGTGTGCGTGTTTGCGAGGTGTGGATTTCTCGGAAGTCGGATATCCTCTCGCTCTCCGCAGCTCCCTCACAGCTCACACAGCGAGTTTACGCATATATTACGGCTCTGTGCATCCAATTCTCGGTCAGGTGTAGTGGATCACCTTAAAATCCTGGATTAATTCCTGAGCCCACCCAGCCCCACCAGACGGGTGGCGCGAGGCGCCCGGGCCACTTTTTAGCGCCTCCCGAGCCTCCCGGCGCCTCCGGTGGCCTCCTGAGCCCTCTCCCACAGCCTCTCTCGGCGACGTGGGGAGCGTCTGCCGTCCACGGCTCGCATCGGCTCTTCCAGCGGCTCCACGCTTGCCGCCCGTGGCGCCCGCGCCACGCACTGCCACGCGGCCGCTCGAGAGAGCGGTCGACGCCCATACTGCTGGGCGTGGCGCTCTATCGGTCGACGCTTCGGCGTCGCTGCTTGGCGGGGGACCCGTGCCTCGACGCGGCGGCGCGGCCGAGTACGGCTCGGTGGCTCAGCGCGTCGCCACGGATGAGATGCGTTCCTGCATGTAGGGGGAAGCTCCAAGAATGTTTCGTTCTACTTGCAGGAGAGGTCCAAGCAATTCGAGTGACTGCATGGCTCTTCGCGTCGAGAGGGATGCGTCCAAGATAATGACTTGGTTAATCGGAAGCGCCGTGTCTTGCGGCACGTGTTGTGACAAACTAGCCGCTATTAAAGAAAATGGGAATGTTATCTAGTTAAGGCAACAACCCGAGCGACACCTCAGATAGACTCTCACTGAGAGACCACCTCAAACAGAGACAGACCTTAGACAAATAAGAGACAGGGACACACACACACACATACACGCGCGCGGTGTACCCGCTGCGTACGTCATGCGCCTGAGCCTATCTCTACTCGCATGCGTCCTCAAACCTGCCCGCACGCGAGGTCGTACTCGCTGCGGGCGAGGTAGAAGAGGCCGCCCTCCTCCTTCGCCCACTTGAGCTCTGGCACGGCGAGCAGGTGCGTCGCGGCGACGCGGTTTTGCTCGCTCGGCCAAGCCTTGAAGATGGCAAACTCGTCGTTGAGCTCGTGCAAGTTGACCCACTCGACTGGCACCGAGTAGTGGTTCTTGACCAGCGTCGTCGGGCCGCACGTGATCGTCGACTCGTTCTTCTCCTCCGGGCCGCGCGCCGTCGCGAACCACGTCGTCTCGCCGTCGGCCGTCTCGTCGTCCTGGCCGGGGTGAGGAGGGGTGAGTGGATAGGGCGGCGCGCAGAGCGAGGGGTGGGCAGAGGTGCGCCTCGTCGCCCGGCATGCAGACCACCGTGCCCTTTCCGATGGTCTTGCGGTATTCGCGCGGCGTCCTCGCCACCGCCGCCGCCGCCGCCCCCGCCGTCGCCGTCGCCTGGCGCGTTTGGCGGCGGCCGCCGCCGCCACCCCCGCCGCCGCCGCCGCCACCGCCGCCGCCACCGCCGCCGCCGCCGCCCCCGCCGCCGCCCGAAGACGTCGGGCAGACCTTGCCTAGGCTCAGCTGGCCGGTCCAGCCGACGTGGATGCAGGACCCCCCCGGCGGCGGCGAGCAGTAGCAGCCCAGGCGCGAGCGGGCGAACGAGAAGCCGTTGTTGGAGGCGACCGCCGCCGTCGTCATGCCGCCCTCGTAGTGCTTGGACGCCATCAAGTCGGGCACCTTGTCGGCGGCGAGCTCGAGCAACGGCCGCTTGGCCCAGACTGCCAGCCGCCTGCTCCAGCTGGAGGGACAGCGGCGCGTCCGGCGACACGGAGGCGGAGGCGACGACGAGCAGCTCCATCAGGCGGCCGTCCGCCTGCTTGGAGTCGAGCTGCCCGCTCCTCGTCCTGCCATCCTCCTCGATGACCGCATCGGCCGCCCAGCCCGCGGAGGCCAGCTGCTCTCCCACTGCGACCACCGCCTCTTCCGACGTCCGCCGCTGCTTGAGATCGTAGCGTCGGTCGGTCCTGTCGCGCATCTCCTCCTCGGGCGAGTAAGCCGGCTCGGCGGCGAGGGCAATCGGAGCGCCGCGATGCTCCGAGCCGCCCGGGCTCACCTTGGAGCGAACAGGCCGGCTCGGAGGTGGCGAGGCTGGCTGGGACGGGCCGGCAGCGTCGGAGGCGGTCGTGGGTAGCGACACGTACTTGGCGCAGTCGGCGAACTTGCCGTCGCAGGCCCGTCTGGCAGCTCGGCAATTGGCACAGGCGACGCTCGGACGCCCACGTTTCGACTGCTCCGGCTGCATGGACGCCGACGCGGATAGGCGGTCCGAGCGGTATCGGGGTGGCTCAGGAGTCACTCACCCAGTCGGACGCGAGGACCGCCGGCTCGGAATAATTTTCCGGTGCCCCAGTCGGCTTGCAGGCGTGAGAGTCGGAGGACGAGCCTCTCACGGTGAACCTTCTTTTCTAGACCGG